GGGGGGAGCCGTGGGAGGAGTGGCGGCCGCGGCTCGGGAACGGGCTGGGCATCGGTCCGCGGGGGGTGAGCACCTGCACTGTGCACGGCTTGTTCTGGTTTTTTTCCTCTTCCTTTGCTGTCCTATTAAACTGCCTCTATCTCAACCCACGAGTTTTACCTTTTTTTCTGATTCTCCTCCCCATCCCACGCAGGGCAGGCGGGAAGAGTGAGCAGGCGGCTGCATGGTGTTTAGTTGCCAGCTGGGGTTAAAACACGACAGCCATAAAAATTGCAACCTGTTGCCTCTAATGCTTGTTGCGAGACAGAAGAATGCAAGGAGGAATGGAAGATAATGGCTGGCAAAAGATAGTTCTGTACTGCCCAGATTTGCTATTTTCTATCACGGATCCTGTGAGCCAGAAAGCAGTTCCAGAGAGAGGCTACTGTCTAGTTTTATGCACAAAATCCTCCCCTGAGCCACTGAGAGTCAAGAAGTAACTGCTCAGAAAAGTAGTGCTGTTCAGAGTGCCAATTCAGCTCCCTGCAAGGCTGCAAATACATAGGCTCTAAACAGAAAATTTAAGACTTCAGTGGCTTGCAGATGCCATATCCTCAGCTGTACCTGAAGAACTACTCTGCAAGATTTAACCAAGTGGTGTCAATGCCCTCTTCTGGCCACGATCAGCTCTACCACAGGCTTCCCTGCGCTGCAAAAGCAGTGCTCATGCACCCCAGGCTTTTCAAGGCTGAGATGGAAAAGCTGTCTGTGCACCACATACCACTTTTTTGGATTCTTGCTGGATAACCCCATCCAAGCCCAGCTGCTTCATGCCCACTTTATCTAGTACACTGACTGTGAGGGCTGAAACAAAACCAAGCACACAGAGCACGGTACCTGGAAAAGACACAAGAGGTGTTATAAATTCCTCAGTGTGGAAAGAGCTGAATGACAAAACCAACTGCATGTAATAAGCAGAATTCTCCTACTCCTGGCTTCTCGTAACAGCCTTCCCTACTGCAGCCATACAGCAGGACCATTTAGCTCTTACCACCCTGTCAGAACCCTTGAGCTCTTTATCCACCAAGCTCCCAATGCGCTGCAGAATTGCCTGATGCCAGTGAAGCGAAAGCCCCAGCCATCTCTAAAGACAGCCACTTTGCTGGACTATGGCCAGAATGCCTTCTGAACAACTGCAGCAGGCCTGTGCGTAACAAACCCAAGGTTAAAACAAGCCAGACACAAAGAAACGTCGATGGTCCCCTGAGCAGGAGACGCATCACTCATGGGCTGGTCCTGGAAGCCAAGTTATACCTCTTCATTTATGTGAGCCACTTCAGTTACTACAGCAATCTGACCTGTTAGCACACTCGGCTCCAGAGAAGTGAGGCAGATCGTGCTGGGTATGTCAGAAGCAAGTCTGGCAACGGGCATCTGCTGCAGACATCCTTCTCTCAGACCTCTATTCATTTTCCAAAAAACCCAAAACAATCTCCGTGATGCATACACACTTTGTCTGATGTATTTATCCCTTCATGGGCTACTGAAGTCGCTGTGCTGTGCTTGCAAATGCTGCCTGAGCGTAAAAGTAATAGTGTGAGATGGGATGCGACACACCGTGCCCATCCCAGTTACTTCTCTGAGAGCTAGAACCAAATGAGCAGGGTTTCAACTTCTACAATATTTATCTCACATCTGCATCCTCTTTTCCATGGGTGATGGCCCGTACTGTTTTGTTATTTGGGAAATAACACTTTCCTATGATCAGCGAGGTTTTGTACACAAGGATGCCCTGAGGCAGGTCTCCCTAACATCACCATTCCGGCACACCAGAGTACGGGAGTGCCACTACTTAACTGCACTGTGAAACAGGTCATCCCTTCCACTAGAGACAGATCCCCCCTCACTGCACCAAAGAGAGGAGAGAAACTCAAATTTTTTAAAGCTATGAGCCCTAGAACAGATTCACACTAAGAAACATGTCATTCAGACTCTCCTTTCAGATTCAGATTCACAGTAATTTAAACCTACGATTTTGATCAGTCCACGTGCAAGGCATCTAATGATGAGACCAATACAGATACTACTACAGAACCAGCATGTTCTGCTAGCTAAAGTAGAGAAAAACAAACACATTAGATTCCTCTCTTGTTTCACTCTTAAGTTCCCATGCCATGGGAGTAAACCTACATTTAGTACTGACCACCTGTGACTGCAGATGTTAAAATATCTCAAGAAAACTGCAGAAAAAACTATCAGGCTGACACTACAGCTCTAGAGAGGCTTTTCAGGCATCAGTGAAGAAAACACCACTCCATTGCATACAGAAAGCAACAGGAAAAATTGGAAAATAATGTTCCGTCTCCTGCTAACTTCACTATCTCTTTCAGGCACTTTTCGTAACTGGACGAAACAGGCTCTAGAAAACAAAAGGCCAAAGCACCACAGAAACTCACCTCCCCAGAGTGTCCACTGCATTCCAAATTTTGCCTCAAACTGCTGGGTGAAGAAGAAGTTGAGGACACTCCCAAGACGGGAGAAAGACAGAGTCAGTCCAAATGCCAGTGCCAGTTCCTTCCCCTTGAACCAGAAGGCTGTGATACGATTCTGCACAACTTGGAGAAGACAAAAATCCTCTGAACAGACAGACTTAGCCAAGAGCATTGCAGAGAAGCAACAAACACAGCCTCTCAAACTCAAGAGCTTGAGCTGGGTTAAGAGACCTCTACACATCTCAAGTGGAGGTAGTACGTGTCAACTTTGCAGTCCATTTTGAAGTGTACTAAATTATGCTGGGACAGAGTAGGTGAACTTACGCCTCAGATAAGGCAAGCAAAAATAACCCCAAAGGCATAGCAATCATATAGCAGCCCCCACCCTTGGGAGGACAAACTTGTTAGAAGGGTAGACATTTAAACATTTCGGCACACGTTAAATCCATGCAACCCTTCAAGGAGCAGGGTTCTTCTGTTAGCAACGTAGGTTCCTGGTGCCGACCAGGTGAAGCTGACTGGTAGGAAAAGGGTCTAGGAGGCAAAATAAAAATGTATGATGACCCACTGGCGAGATGCATTAAGGACGTGAATTCCTTACTAGTAAGTGACCCATTCCCAGAGCCAAAGAGCAGTCTTCCTGATAGCATCATTGGGAGGAGGTATGGCGACCCCTTGAAATGTGAGCCTAGAGCGAAGACTGATGATCCCAGCACAGTCAGAAGAGAGAAAACAAGGACACCAACTAGGGAGAAACAGAAAAAAAAAATAAACAAACCTCAATAGACATGCTAAGATCAGGACAAAAGCATTCTTTGTCAAAAAGCAAGACAGCAACCTCAAAACAGGCCAGTAAACCTGTGGGCTTCCATCAGTTTACCCTCATTATCTGTCTCCTCATCTGTAAGTTGTTTACCTCTGTGATAGAGAAACAGAGCATAACTGCATTTTCTGTGTCTGCTGGGCCTTAGATTATGTCACACAACAGAAAAAATGTCAGAGCAGGGAACAGAACACTACTTTATCAGTTTGTCCCACTGAAAACGTATTAACACTATTCCCTGTTTCATGCACGTCAGGTATTCAGGTAAGAACTTTGGGACTCTGGCATCCCTGGAGATATCCCAGAAATCAGCTGGGATATCAGTCTAAACAAAGCACGTTTACTGCACCGCTGTGTAAATTCAGATAAGTCAGTGGTCAAGGGTTGAAAACATCTCAGCTCCCTTCATGGAGCTGCTCAGCTAACCGCCACACACTCCACGCACAGACCTGTCCCTCCTCTCCCATCTCTCTGTGATCTTACTGAAGTGGAAACTTTGGTCATCCCTTTGCACTGAAAGAACAGCCTGAAATCCCACTTCAGTACAAAAATAAATTAATTAATCCTCAGAACTTACAGCGATTTCCTAGTTTATCAATCAGGAATCCAGCCAGAATAACCACTACTGCATTTCTAGGAGAAAAGAAGAACAGAAACATTTGTGTCTTGCTGCTGGGAAGCAACTAGCAAACTACAGTGCCTCCCCAAAGCAAGAGAAAAGTGACTCACGTCCAAGCATAGATCGCGTACAGCAAGTTGTATTGTGCAGGTGTCATTCCCAAGCCTTCAACACAGTCCAGCGTGCTATTATGCCCGGTGCTGTTACGATGGGTCTCATTCGGGCAGGTCAAATTCTGCATATTAAGTCACAGAGCCTGTGTTAAGCAGCAGACACGGATGAAAACCCACGCATTCCTTTAAAAACAAAGTAAAGTTCTTGCCTGCTAGATTTCTATTTCTCCTACTCAGTTCCCACTTCCACGACCAGGAATTAGAGGACTTGTGTCTTCCCTCAGAAAGCCAGCCCTTGCCAAATGAGAAATTATTGTCCATCAGCATGTCTTCCCTTCCCCTTTCTGTGGCAGTAGTGGCAGAGGCTCAGCACTTTTATATGCATTTCAGTCCAAAAGAAAAGCCAGGAGACTGAACCATGAGTTTCTTGGCTATAGTTTAGCTTGATCTGACTCTTCATTACATGCAATAAAGTCTTAAGCAGTGTGAATATGAAACTTAGCGGTCATCCATATTAATTCACAGCTATAAAGCATTTGCTGGACAGCAGGAAACTGGTAGTCCTGGCATGATTTAATGATGTCATTTTTGCTACTGAAAAGCATCATCTCCTCCACACCGTGTGATCAGGTTAAAAAAACAGATCTTCCAACTACAAAAAAATCTACCTGCATTAGGAAATGAACGCTAGGTCTTCCACACCAGTAGGCACAAGCTTAATGTCTTGCATAAGTACAAGCAAAGCGTAATTTTAACCACGTGATCTTTATCTAGCCTTCATATGTACAAACCCCTCATATCTGCTGCTGCATGATGATCTTAGATGCGCCGACTACCACCATACCACTTGTGTAAGGCAAGCAGAGGCTAAAGTTGCCAGAGTAAAAATACGACGAGAGTGTCAACAGATAAAAACACTGTTTGCACAGTACCTAAGACAGGAAAATACGGCTTGTTTTCACTACCCTATAAAGTTACCCAGGTAACAAAATATGACATAACCTTTCCTTTACTCCATAAATAAATAACTGACTCTTCTCCCTACAGAAGTTGTGGAGGATCAAGCAATAAATACTGACTTTTTCTTTTTACTCCTGTTTGCAATGACAACCTGCACCCAATTTATCCCGGAGTTCACTGTCACTGAATGTTAGGGATTAAGTGCACTTTGAAAATTAAAAGAAGTTATATGTTAGTTTAGATATATTGCTGCCCTTGCTATGGAAGCAGACGAAGCACAGGGCAGTGACTCCCAGCCTACACACAGGGATCCACCAGCAGATGGCACACATGATGCCACTTTACATGAGTAAAAACATCTCTCCGAAGACATGAAACAAATGCAATAGCCACAGGTAAATGAGTCAGGTAAGAATTTCTGTCGGGTATTCAGGAATTCAGGGAACAACTTTGGGACTCCGGCATCCCTGGAGGAATCCCAGAAATCGTCTGGGATGTTAGTCTGAACAACAAAATTCCCTAGCGTTTGCGAACGCAGCTGCCTTTCACGGGACGGAGCCCCCCGACCGACATGAAACAAATGCAATAGCCACAGGTAAATGAGTCAGGTAAGAATTTCTGTCGGGTATTCAGGAATTCAGGGAACAACTTTGGGACTCCGGCATCCCTGGAGGAATCCCAGAAATCGTCTGGGATGTTAGTCTGAACAACAAAATTCCCTAGCGTTTGCGAACGCAGCTGCCTTTCACGGGACGGAGCCCCCCGACCCCCCCGCGCGGGCCTGTCTTTCGCCCAGCAAACAAGCACGCGCCGCGCCGCGCCGCGCCGCCTGCGGTACCAGGCGGCTGGATGTGAAGACCCAGAAAGGCTTTTCTCGCCTCCGGCCTCCAACACCGCCAGCCTTCCGGCCAGCTCTAGGTACCGCCCACATGCAAAGCGGGGAGAGCCCCATTCTAACTCCGAGCCTCGTTAGCGTAGCGAACCGTTGTTGGACAGAGAGCTGACAACCATGGAGCAAGGGCAGGTGTTAGATTCCCAGGTTCTCCAGGCAGTAGCGAGAACTCGCCCAACCCCCCCGTGGCTTGTCCCGGCTTTGTGCATCTTCCTCACGGCAAACGTGGCAGTAGGAACCCCCTCACCCGCAGCGTC